CTAGATTACTAGTTGATGTTGTCTTGCTGCATTAGAACATTAAACTGCTAGCCACCGGAGAGGCCAAATCTAGCATTCTAAGTATCTATAACAGGTACAGTCAGGCTGAGGCCGCAGCGACAGGATGCTGACCTCAGAGTCCCTCAGTCATGTGGCGTTGTTACAGCAGGGGACGATGGTCTGTCCTGGTCTGTTTCCCTTGATGTCCGTGATCACGAGCGCCGACTCCTCCGTCTCCACACTTGGCAACGAAGTCTCCAATGAAAACCCTTCCAAACATTCACGCGAAATCGAGGGGAATCTTGAGGGGAACAGGCAACTCAGGATCATCCGGCCCGTGGGCAATGCGCCTGACCTGGACGGCAGGCAGGTGAGGTCAGGTGATCCATCCATGGAGTTGTCCAAGCATCGTGGAGAACTCAGTGAGGTCATCTCCGACGGCGAATTCGACAGGCCTCATGGCGGCGGAGAGCGTGGCGGCCGGTGGAGCGGTGGTGGTGAAGGTCGGCAGCGCCGCAGGTGGAGAAGGATCTGGAAGCGTTGGCCGACGGGAACGAGTGTTGTCTCGGGCTCTCGGCCTTCTCCTGTACCACTGGAACATGCTGAGGAGTATGGCCAAGAAGACAGCGATGCTTAGGACAGGCAACACGTACTACTGGAGAGAAGCCAGCGAGTATTGGTTCCTGGCTGCTGGACACCGGGCAAGTCGAGCTCCGGGACGCCACCGCAGAGGCCGGCGTTCCCTGCGATCTTGAACCCGGAAATGTTAGCGAATATGCCGCGCAGCGGTACACTGCCGTCAAGGTGGTTGTATGATAACTGTTGAATAGGAAATAGTTAGGCTTGCGTGGGCCCTGGTGGTGTTGTTGGGCTTGCTTTTGAGTTGAGAACTTTGCGAGGCGGTTCATGGCTAATTTTAAGTTGTCTTATTAATCTAGCTCTAACACATGTTGTAGCGCCTAATATCTAGTCTTTCTGTAAAACATATTATTGTCTGTAGTATTTGTTTTAGCGCACTTATGACAGTAAAGGGGCAGACAATAGAGACGTGACAACTGGTAGAGTCGAGGACTACGTAGTTTTTACGTCAAATCGAGATTGCATTTCATTTCCCGTATTCGTCGATAATCCAAAATCAATATAAGTTTAACCATTTTTTATTAGTGTCGGGCCAAGGATTTGCCACGCCAAAACTTTACATGCAATTTGGTAAACTCCATTTAATAATTCGATAAATAATTATAAAAATGTTCTCTGCAATTAGGAATCACTGCTGGAAACATGAACTGCCGTGCGGGTGACGAATTTTTCTATGTGTTTTTCATGGTACACTCAGGGAAATTAGTTATTAATGTGTGGTTCCAAAAATCCCGACAGAAAAATATAAAAACCCACATGGAAATTGCATGATTTTTCTATGTGTGATAATACACATAGGATAATTGCAATTATTGTATCGATCTAGCCCTGTCGGTTATTTTCTGTTTTTCTATTAGGATTCAAATTTTTCTATCGGTTTTTGCACACACAGGGTTATTATAGTTTCCACTAGTGCATATAGGTACTAAATACCTAATAAGTCCGAAATTCAATAATTTAATTCAAAATTTGCACAAACTACAATATAAATAGTCCAAACACTATTTAAATGAATATAGTTTAAAATATACACAAAAGAATCTTACAAAACTACTTTGTCCAGCGTATGCTTACAACATTATTCAGCAAGCAAGTCATGCTCCGCTGGACTAGTACCATCCAAAGTTGTTAGTATCCCGATCTATCTATATCCTAAATTCTTATGATACCACGACACTACTAGTCGAATATCAATCCTACGATTTATCCCAAATTGGACATACTATCCTACGCAAAATTCCATGGTATCCGGCAGACCGGCACTACGGTTCCAAGATACTATATAATAATTGATATAAATGACTTTCAAATGGCTCAGGTGATATTGTGATAAAAATATTATTTGATGTTGAGGAGCCTTGACTTAAAAATAATGTCAACAAAATATGTTATCCCGGAACAGCCTCAAAATTGGCTATTTTTGTATTTATGGAGCAACTCCAAGAGACTGTATATTTTTCCTAAATGCTAGAAATAGCGATTTTGGTGAAAAACTACCCTCCAATAGCTTCTCTAAATGGTTATCCAAATATAGTCATCTTCTATTCCAGATTTTTCGGTAGCAAAAAATAGAAGACGAGAATGACCCTCTAGATCGAGTATGCACGAGATATAGAAGAATTGTTGGAGAGTGAAAAGACATAGAAAACGATTTTTATATAAGTGACTCTCCAAATGATGATTTAGAGAGTGAAATTTAGAAAAGCTCTTAGAGATGCTCTTAAAACTTCACACAATAAGCATATGAGTGGAGATTTCATAAAAAAGATATGGCACTATATACAATGACTGATATAAGTGATGATGAAATGATGCTAAAGTGGTACCATTTTTATCTTCATTGCCATTCCATTTGGTGCTTTGTTTCACGGGACACAACAATGAAGGATAAAAATAAAGTAAATAAGTGATGAAGTATATTATATGTTGTTATTAACTTCTAGAGGTGATACAAAGTTGGTGGTAAAAACTAAAACACAGGTGAGGAGATCTCATCGGACACAACAGAGAGAGGATTAAAATTTAGATAATAATAAGAAAGGAGATCTCACGGGACAGAAAATTGGAAAATAAAAATAAAAACACATCTGAGACGGCCTAGCCGTACCCTCGAGGTACAACGCATCCACCCTCTGTCCTCCGACCTCTATGGTAGCGCGGACGTTCAACTCCCGATGCTTCTTTGTTCTCCCAGGGTGTGTTTGTTTGCCTGGACCTCGGCCAAGGACGCCAGCCTGGGACGCACGATGCTTGAAGCACCGGCGAGCCAGGCGCCCGTTTCTCACAGGCGTGGCGCACCACTGGCTCGAGCGGGCCTTTTTCCCCTGGCTTGCGTGGGAATGAGGAAACCTCCGCCAGGGTTTCACTCCGTTTTATCCCCTCTGCCATCTGCTTCCCCCATTCACTCCGCTGTCACTTATCTTCATCGCTCTCTCGCTCTCCTCTTCCTCTCTTCCTCACCAGTACAAACTGTGTCGATGTGTGGAGGTGGCGTGGTAGTAGGCAGCCCTCATGCTTTTGCATTGTCATCTCCCTCGTCCGTGTTCGTGCCAGCGCCTTACTACGAACCTTCGTTGTCTTCTTCCCTGAGCCGTCGCTACGCCTGTGAGATGTTGCTGGGCTTGTGTGTTTTCCTGGACCCGCGCGAGTCTTGTGGTGGACGTGTCGGGGGTACACCTCCATCTGCATCCCAGTGCCTGGTATTTTTCCTCTTCACCAACCTCTCGTGATGTTCTCTAGTTCTCCTTCTTGCCATTCAAAGCAAGGTCAAATCTCGGCCTTCTCCTACTAGTGCGCTACGATTACATGTGGTACTCAATATTTTGCTTCATGTCATCCATGGATTAGGGGGTGCCTCGAGGCAAATAGTAAGTTCAGGATTCCCAGATCTATCTGTTGTTTCTTTTAGTCAATCGATGATTTTCAGTGCTGGATCTATGTTTTTGTGCGGTACACATGATGAGCTAGGGTTTCTTGCAGCACCATTACTAAGATTGTGAGATGTTTATGCTTGTACAAAACCGATGATTGTTGGTGCTTCATGTTTGATTTCTTCCTTGTACGCATGATGTAGGGTTTATTTTAGCACCATTGATGAGGTTTTGCACACATTATCTGTTGTCTACTACTAGCTGATGTTAGTAGCAGATGGTTGTTCCTAGCCTATGCATGCTTATTATTATCATTTACGGGCCCATGGTGTGCAACTGGGCATGTTTGTTCTTAGTACAAGTTGATGATGTAAGGGTCTAGCCTATGGGTGGCTTGTGATAGCATTAGCCGCCGAGGTTAGGACCCCCACTGTCCAATTGTAAAAGCGTGAGTTGAACTTCCAATTAAGCAACTGGACCCAATAATGGTGTGCCTTCATGAACTAACAATTTTTAATTGTGAACATGGATGTACTAAGTAGTTTGCGGTTAGACATTCCTGCCTATGTACTTTAGCAAGTCTAATACGTACTTATCTTGAGTTAGAATTATACCATCACTTAATTTAGTTACCTCAATTCTGAGGAAATAGTGTACTCCCTCAGTCCTGCAATGTAGCACATTCCAAAAATTTTGAGACAAGTTATTAGTGAAATACTTAAATGACGCATGTACCCATAGATTAAACCCAATTATAGAGTTTTCTCCTTAAATGATGGTTTTATTTTTAACAAACTTAGCCAAATCTAGCAAAGACACCATATAGAATGCCTTATTTTAACGCACTTCCAGGACAGAGGGAGTAAGTCTCCTAAGTTCTTAAGTCTAAACTCATCTTGAATATACTTTAACAAAGCCGTGACACCATCCTGTTTAGAACTCAAAACAATGATGTCACAAATCAATACAAAGATAGTAGTTCCACCGTAATTATAGAAGAATATAAAGTTGTATCCACTATAGACCCTTTGAAGCCAAGCTCACACAATTTCTTACGTACTCAATCTCGAGTACCAAGCTCGTCGTGTCTGTTTCAATCTATTCAAGGCCTTGCCAAGTTTGCACACATGCATAATTAGGACATGATTTATCCCCGTACTAATTAGGAGCCGCACCTTTGTTTATATATCGGCATGGAAATTAGGAGGCGCACCATGATGGAATATAATGTTCAAGATTGTTTTGTCGCCGTTTACAACAAATCCTAGATTACAACCGTACTATCTCCTATACATGGCAACAACCCAATCTTGGACACCAAGATATTTGTTGCATGATTTTATCTAATTAACACAGATGTCACCATAAAAGCAGACGACCCCCCGACCCCTCTGCCCCTGGCGCAAAGACTGTTTTTCGTTCAGTATGGGCAACTGTTCAGCTCCTTCTTCGACCAGCGACGGCTGCAGCAAAACCACCATTGTCGCCGAGATGGTTACTGGGTCGCACGTGCTGGAGGTGAAAGGATACTCCGTAACCAAGGACCAGCTGGGCGTCGGCAAGCGCATCTCTTCTGGTGTTTTCAGCGTCGACGGTCACAGGTGGATCCTTCAATACTACCCGGATGGCTTCAACGAGGAGAGCGCCGATCACATCTCTATCTTTGTACAAATAAAAAATCCTGTCGCTAAGGCCGATGTGAAAGCAAGATTTTGCTTCAGTTTACTCGACCATGCCGGAGAGCCAGTCTCCGATTACACTTTTACAAGCGAAACACGCACTTTCTCGTCCACATCTGTATCCTGGGGCTACGGTACATTCATAGAGAGGAGGAGTTGAGTCATCCTATCTAACGGACGACAGCTTCAAGATCAAATGCGACCTCACCGTCTTCAAGGACGTCCGCACGGAGATTCTCGCGCCGCCGCCACCACCGCCGATTGACCTGCAACGGCATCTTGGCAACCTTCTTGCTAGCAAGGTGGGAGGGACGTGGAGTTCGAGATCGACGGCGAGGTATTCACGGCGCATCGCTACATGCTCGCCGCACGGTCGTCCGTGCTCATGGCGGAGCTGTTCGGTCCAATGGAACCGAAGGCGACGGATCTCGGTCACTTACGCATCCCAAGACATGGAGGCCAGGGTGTTCAGGTGCATGCTCCACTTCATGGAAATCGATGCGCCGGACATAGCAGTGATGGCTCAGCATCTTCTCGTGGCGGCGGACCGGTACGACCTTCAGAGGCTGAAGTTGATCTGCGAAGACATGCTGCGCAGCTCCGTTGACGCCAGCCTTGCAGCGACGACACTGGTCCTGGCAGAGCAGCATGCCTGCCAGGGGCTTAAGGCTGCGTGCTTTGAGTTCCTCAAGGCTCCTGGCAATCTCAAGGCAGTCATGGCGATTGATGGCTTCCAGCATCTGAAGAGCAGTTGTCCGTCTCTTCTCGAGGAGCTGCTCGCAAAGGTTGCCCCATGATACCTGCTCGAATTGGTTGCCCCCTTTGATGAATGCCACGTTGCGCAACGAATTTTAATAAATCTTATTAATTGGAACGGTGCCACTACAACTTTTGTGGTTCTGAGATTTGGCACTATCATCCAAATATTGTGAGATACTAGCAGGCATGCCAGTGCGTTCAGCCGTTCAACGGAACCTGACTCCATATCATTGATCAACCGAGTTGTTCTAACTTATGAGCATGTCATGAATCCAGTCACACAAGAGATATGGAAAGCATGACTGCAGTTTACAACTTTTGTGGTTCTGAGATTTGGCCCAACTACAGGATGACACAGTTTTGTATGACCAAAATAACCTCATAGTCTTCTTTCTCTCTTTCTTCCTCCATCACCCCTCCCTTCATAGCCGACATGCTTTATGCTCAGGTTCATTGGAGTTAGAGAAGATGTCAGAGTGCGCAGCGGAATCCGGACCAGCCCGCTATACCTATGAGCCGGCACCCCTCAGGCCCAGGTCCACCGGAGCCCACAGCATACCTAGGCCAAGGGCCTAACTCAACTCAACCCAAAAGACTAGCCTCATAGGTGAGCACTGCCCCGCCTAATATGTTGTGCTCCCCCACCATCAATTAACGATGTGGAAACAGACCTAACAATCTCTCCCGTCACACATCAGACCCAAATCTTCACATCACACAACCCCGTGTGATCTCCGGCCAACCCTTCACATCACCCCATGTGATCTCCGGAAGATGCTATCCAGGCCCCGAGTCTAATGCTCCATATGACACACAACCCGCGTGACCTCCGAGACGTTAACGAGCTCCCCCATCACCATGTGACCCCTAAGATTTTTCAGGTTTTTCGACCATGGGCTCCGATACCACCTGTTAGAGTGCGTAGCGGAATCCGGCCCGGCCCGCTATACCCACAAGCCGGCACCCCCTCGGACCCAGGTCCACCGGAGCCCACAACATACCTAGGCGTAGGGCCTAACTTAACCCAAAAGACTAGCCTTATAGGTGAGAACGGCCCTGTCTAATATGTTGTGCTCCCCCACCATCAATTACTGATGTGTGACCAAACCTAACAGAAGAACCTGCAACCCGGCCTGCTTCCCTTCTCCAACAGTGCGAGCCTGCATGCTGTGTTAGGCGCTTCATCGATGAGCCAAACAAAGGGACACAGACGTTAGGATGGGCCCAAGGAGGGAGGATCTCACGTGTGCTCGAAGCCGATGCCACGGTCTTCTTCTACTCACCTTGCTCCCTCACCGCACCGGGGGAAGAGGTGAGGGCTGCCAGTGACTCTGAGCACTTTGAGTGGGACCCTAATCCCGATGACTCGCATGCCTCGCTATTTGGGTTGCTCGACATGCCTGGGACGCACGAGCTTAGGCGTTAGCTAGTGGCGAGCACATGTGTGCAGGGCCAGTGGTGTTCCTATGGTGCAGGCATGATGCACGAGGTCATGGTGTGGCATGGCAGTTGGCGGCAGGTGCGGCGCTAGTGCCTCTCCTGTTCAGTGGCGTGGTGGCCTTCGTGTCGACAGGGACAACTCCTCCCTTGGCGAGCTCCTCCCCATCCAGCCCCGGCCCTTTGCTAAGTTCACAACTAGAATCTGCAACTTCTCCCCGTGAAGTAGGATTCTCCGAGCATGCAGCTTTTAGCATTAAATACGAGCACTTTCCCGACGAATTGCCTCCTATGGAGGATTTCCATGTGCCTCGCACAGTTGGTACTGGTAGTGTTCTTTACTGCACTAGAGGAACTGCACCAACCTGGCAGTGGTTGCTCCCTGACCATCCCATCCTCAGTGCACACGGGAGGCACGGTACCAAGTCAGGTGGAGATGAGGGTGGCGGTTGGCATGTCGAAGTTTAGTGGATGCCATTGGAGCATGTAAGCTCACATGAGAGCAAGTATAGGAGAGAGAGGAAGAAGAAGAATGAGGTAGTAGAGGCATTATGGCCCATATGAAATATTGTATGTGGCCGTGGCCTTGCAGTTGCAGGTGCCCACAAGACGTAGAGCATGGTCTATTTCAAGGAGCAGTAGAATTATAATAATGGCATATCTTAAAATGTATGAATTATAATGGCATTTCTCATAAGCACGAAAGTTGTGATGACACCGTTCCAATTAACGTTATAATAACTAGTCAATAGTGTGGTGCTCTCTCACCGACTAAATTTAGGAGATAGATAACTTTATTGCAATTCAACTAACGGGTACTGGTTATCTTTGCACATACGAACTGCTCCTTCTCCGTATTCATACTCGTGCTTCTTTGCACTGCATCATTTGTAATTGGTGCTATATTCAGACACAAACAAACGAAGCATGCTATCAACACTTGAGGCAGCGCCTGCTGGAGACTGAGATAAGGTATGCATGCATGTGTTATAAACTTATGCCGTTCGGTATATTTATCTTGCACAAAATTGAGACATGCATAGTAGAGTGCTAATCGGATGTCATTAAATATATGTTGCATAGTCTATTTTTTAGTGGCAAGATTGATAAGCGGGCTTATGTATGATTGAATTTAAATTATACTATCAACCCTTGAAATTTCATGAAAGGCCAATTGTTTTTCATTTTATATATTACTGAACATCATATAGACAATAAGCACAATATTGATATTAGCCTCATTTCTTTAGTGCCATGGAGATTATAATTCGGTGATTCAGTTTATGACGGCTGAGGTGGATAATTAATGGAAAAAAATTTAAGTTACTACCCCTAGGTGTTGTTTATGTACGGATAACTCCCTAAACTAATATTTGGGTTGGTTCACTCCCCTAAACTATTTGAGTCGGTGTAATTTAGCCTTTAACGAGATTTGTCTTTTTTATTTCACTATGTAAAAGCTGAATTTTACTTTTGAAATTTGCAAGGTGATTGTAATTTTTAACAAATACATTATGAATTTTATATTAATATGTTTAATATCATTTTGTATTTCAATTTATCATTATATGTCCTAACCCATCAAAATAATCATAAAAAATTGCGACAAATTTTTAAACATAAATTATGATGGTAGTTATAACCTCACAAAATTTGAAATAAAAAATCAATTTGAATGTGGAGAAACAAAAGACACAAATCTTGTGAGGGGTAAATTGGACTAACTGAAATAATTAAGGGGAGTAAACCAAACCAAACGATAGTTTAGGAGGTTATCAAGATACCGGCCATATTTGAGGTAGTATTTTAATATTTTTTCCATAATTTATACACAAACTAAAATGTTTTAATTTATATTTTTTTATAATGATATACTCCCTCCGATTCCATAAAGCAAGTCATTTTGAGGTTGCCTTATAAGTCAAACATTTTAAGCTTTGACTACGAATAAATCCTTTTGGGTGGGGTTTGAAAATGTGAAAGTAAGTAAGTAGATTCATTAGTAAAAAGTAGCGGTCAAAGTTGTTTTTTTGAGACCGTATCGATGCCATGACTTGCTTTAGGGAACCAAAGAAGTATATGGGTATATTCAATGCAAATGTGTAGGGGTTATTTTTGCATTGTATTTTATAATTACATATGTGGATAATTTATAAAAGAATATTAATGTATTATTATAAATTATCTTTCGTAATGGCAAGGGTGATTAATTTTGATACAAATTTTGGTGGTTGTTTTGAATTCGTTTTTATAATGACAGATGGACAATTTAGATGCAAAATTAGTGTGTTACTTTATGTATTTTTCATAATTGATGAGGTGGATAATTTTTAAAAAAATATATATATTTTCCTATAAAACAGAGTATATCCAATAGCTATTATTTTCAAAATTTATTTTTTTCTAGCATGTCTAGTGTGAACTAAAAGGTGTGTTTGGATGCCTGCAACTGCTGCCATGCACAAGCGGATGTATGTAAATTTTATTTTAGAAGCGTGTTTGGTTCGACACTTCCACCGTAGCTACTTGCGAAACGAGCTGTACTCCCGGTTCTCAACTCCCTTTAGTCCCGGTTTTAGAACTGAGAGCACCAATCCGGGACTAAAGGGGCCCTCCTTTAGTCCCGGTTTCGTGCCCGGGATTAAAGGTCACCTTTAGTCTCGGTTGGTAATACCAACCGGGACTAAAGGACCGGTCTTTAGTCCCGGTTGGTATTACCGTCCGGGACTAAAGGTTTTTTTTGTTTCTATTTTAATTGATATCAATTCGTTTTGGTTTTCGAATACGCCGTGAAACTTGCGAACTCTCAACGGTGCTGCATGATGTCCTTATATGGCATCAACCTATCTGATTTCACTCCTTTGTATCTGCAATCTTCAGATAGATCAAATTGTTTCAGGCAGAGTGAAAAGCCACTACCACCATCAGATGGGTCAATTCTCAGACCTTGCTGTGAATGCACATGACAATTGCGGAAAGAACCGAAAGTGACAAATCAGATGGAGTGATTCAGAAATTGGCACAAAATATTCGAGTTATACAACGACTAAGCAGTTTCTGACAAGCATAACTAGAACACACCAACCAAACACAGCTATTGTACTATCAAGTCTCACCGTTGAGAGTTCAGATAAGATTTAGGGAACATTGTGCCAATCTAGACAGTGAATATAGAAACCTATTTCCCAGCGAGTCCATCCACGAGGGCACCGCCGCTGCGATCGCTAAATCGTCGTCGGGTCCGGTCTAATGGAGACGGGATCCCGATCTTCCGTCGGTGATGGTAACTATCGTTGTGGCGGAGAATGACACACCGATCCGGCTTCAGATCGAAAAATCGAACCTGCAATCTTAGCACCACAGCCTTCCTCTGGTTATCAACCGAGTCACGGACCAGGTTGACCTCGCCAAGAAGGCTAATCCCTGCCTGCGCAACGAAGAACACAAGCAAGAACAAGAAAGAACGCAACCAAATTGCAAATGTATGATTAATCTCACGAGTTGGGGTCTCACAAACCGAAGAACGGCGAAACTGTTTCTTGACAGAATAATCTAAGCAAAACCCAAAACCTAATGACAGCGGCGGCATATGATTATAAAG